TCTAGGTGAGTTGAAGGAAATTGGCTTAGGTTGCGATGAGCAAAGAGTTAATAGAAACAATTTAAAATATTTGAAAAATATTACTTCAGTCGTACTAAGGAAACGCAAAATTATTCCTACTTATTCGCTGAAAGGAAGGAAATATTTCGGTATACTAAGGAGATTTCCTTTCATTTTGTTTGAATTATACATTCCGTTCTTCCCCCATTTCACTCCTGACATTTCCCAGAAATTCTCATATTCATTTTGCCTTTACATCGAGCGGAGGAACTTTACGAGGGTCATAAACTTAACTCCGCACAATTAGCTTCATCTGCATAATGGTCATATTTTATGCCAGCGAATAGAGTGTTAGCCAAGGGGGTCTCGTCGGGTCTCTTTGCATTTATTTGCTTCGCTCCAGTTATCCCCCATCATAGACATCAAAAAACGGTCAATTTCCCTACGGCTTTCGGTTTGGATTCGGCATGGGCGATGAGAACTGGGATCTGGAAACTGGGGGACTGGGGGTGTCGCATAAAGTTTGCCATCTTTTTGCCGCTCGTTTATGGCCGCTCGTTTCCCGTTTCACTTGGCGCAGTTTTATGGGCATTCATTTAGTATTTAGGTCAGTTTTTCGCCACCCCGTCAGCCTTCAGCCTGGTGCCCTCTCCGTTTCTCCATTTTCCTTTTACATAATAATCCAGCGTGTGTGTGCGGTGCTCGTGTCCAACAATCAAAGCTCGTACCATGCGGCGTATACGCAACGCATTTATTTTTAGCAAATTGTTTAACGACTTTTAAGCACAATTGAATTGAAAAATTAGAGGAGACATGCATTCTTTGTTCGCTACTTTGTTGCTTGGCATTTAAAAATAAATAAATCAAATGATTCACCTATTGAACAGCTTGCGCTATAAAATGCCTTTGTCTTTATATCTCACATCTTGTCTTTTTTGCGGAAATCAAAATTCTAGGATTTTTGATTTCATTATGCAATCCATGCCAATGCTGTCTGTCAACCGCCAAGGAAAATTCGCTTCTCTCCTCAATATTCATTGCGGTTTTTTTTCTGTCGACGGGACGGTGGGAATCTTGCAAACGATTTTTAATGTATGTGACGAAATCTGATTTTGAGTGCACACTCTAGCCAAAAACGACACACGCTAGCCCGAAAAAAAATATACACAGGGAAAAAAATATTATCTAATGATATCTAATATAATCTGGATTTTTGAGAGAAATTAAATATAAAATGAAATAATTATAAAAAATAAATATAAATAGTTTTGTTTGATTACACTAAATGTTTTGGTATAAAAAAAAGTTTGCCTGAAATATTTAATTAAGCTCCTAAGATGTATTTGCAATTTTTACAGTCAATTACTTTAACAGTAATATCCAGTTTAATTATACCCGTTACTCGTAGAGTAAAAGGGTATACTAGATTCGTGCAAAAGTATGTAACAGCTAGAAGGAAGCGTTTCCGACCCCATAAAGTATATATATTCTTGATCAGGGTCACTAGCCGAGTCGATCTAGCCATGTCCGTCTGTCCGTCTGTCCGTCTGTCTGTCTGTCCGTCTGTCCGTCTGTCCGTCTGTCCGTCTGTATGAACGCTGAGATCTCAGAAACTACAAAAGCTAGAAGGTTGAGATTTTCCACACATATTTTTTGGCTTCCTACGCAGCGCAAGTTTATTTTAGCCGGCACGCCCCCTCGAACGCCCACAATCGCACACTAACGATTTTAAAATGGGTCCTGCGCCCACATCTTTAAAGATTTCCGAGAAATATAAATGCATTTTTGTTGTGTATATTTAAACCTATCGAAATGTAGAAGACATTTTTCAAATCGGACCATTCATTAAAAAGTTATACGCAATCAAAAATTATATATCTATCTCCCTCGCACTCCCTTTAGCTGAGTTACGATTATTAGTCGGGACACCAACCCGACACAGCGTTCGCCTTTCCCTTTTGAGTAACGGGTAGTAAAAATGTCGGGACAGCAACCCGACTATAGCGTTCTCTCTTGTTTTAATTGTTTAAGAGTTCAAAACCAAACTCTTGTGTTTATTTTATGTCCAATTTGTTGACTCTTTTTTCGAAGTGTACTCTCGAAAAATATATAAATTGCACACATATGAGCATAGTCATATCTGAAGCCAAATGCAATTTATCAACAGTTGAGCTTAAATTGTCTGCAGCGTAACGGAAACTTGGCCCGCGTGGAAGATGTTGCCATATCTTCGGGGGGCGGGACCGATAAGGGGGCGCGGCGGGGGCGTTCGTAGAGCGTAAAATTCTCTAATAAGTGCAAATTGGTAGCAGTGACAAAAACAAAAACAAGCGGCCACCACAACAGCGACAGCAGGCCGTCAGCGTTTGGCTTTGCATTTTAATTGAATTTGAGTTTGTTTTATATGTACGTATGTGTATATTTTTGCCCACTCGCTGCGGCTGTAAGTAGAAGTATCTGATGGATACGCACACACATATAGTCGCAGATCGAACGGGAAGTAGCTGGTCACCGAGAACGTGGTCGCCTTCAGGGTGATATAATGTAGAAATAAATATAATTAGTATGCAATATACATATAGTTATGGCTTGGCGGACTTGGAGGCGGGAGAGAAGGCTGGAGATCGACGGATATTATTGCATAATAAACAGGGGAATCACTTTTAAAGTGGGAAAAACATATGGCAAACAGATGGAATGATTAGAAAAGTTTTTGCAGTGTGACAGCTACTTAGAAACGTTAACTTGCCTCTTGTTAAATGGGTTTAAAAACGTAAAATTATATTTTTGTCGTATAATTTTGTCAAAATATAATTTAAATTTAATTTATCCTAACAATATTGTAAGAGAAATATTTTTCTACCATTTTCTTGTTTACTGTAAGATATCGCCAATATGTCAAAATAAAATTAACCGTCTTATCTAACGAGCATAGACAGTTTAAAAAGCGTTTAGAGAATAAACAATTAAATAACATTCTCGCGTTATCTGGCAGGGCGGAGTAAAGTGCCGTTATGTTTTGGCACCTTCATTCACATAACGCTCAGCCGCAAATCCAATCCCATGGGCGTTATCTGGCAAACAAACCCCTATCACTGGCATTTTATTTTCGGAATTCGTTTGACACCCAAAGCAAAAACCATAAAATAGTCATGACAAAGTAAACAAGAAATATTGACAAACTTTTTACATAATCAACAACATTGCCATTTAGTTGGTAATCGGACGTTTTATTAAACGTAGGAATTGTCAAACTGGAATAATACAAAGTAACATTATGACAAAATACTATAAAATAAGTTAATGATTAACTGATTAACTGATTTATTAACCTATAAATTCCAACTAAGTAATATGAGAAATAGATAAGCAAGCTGAAATCCAGATAAAACCTACAAAATAGAATAATATTTTTTATGATTAAAATGCTGGGGATTAAAATATTTTATCTTGGAAATTAATTCAAGAAAAAAGCATTTACATAAGAAAATGGCATGATTTCAATGTAATCGGATGTTGCGACAAATATGGAAAATGTAAATTAATATCTCAGCTGGGAAATTGGCAAAGTGAAGGGATCGCGATGAGCTCTTTGCACTGGGCATGTAATCATTTTTCACCAATTTGTGTAACAATTGCAATTACAACAAAAACGGTTATAGGGCTGTACTTAAATTTATTTAGCTACTGTTGATGTTGTTGTCGTCGCTACCGTCGTTTTGTTGTTGCGCCTTTTAATGTTGCGTAATGTTAGGCTACATAATCGCGTTTTCTGTCCTAACAGCAGCTGCGCGCGTCTTTTTAACATTTCCCAACTCTTTCGATTTAACAGCAAAAGAGTAAATTAAAAGTAAGAGAAAACAAATAAACATGTAGCAGATTTAACAGAAATCTCGACTGTTAATTTCTCTTAAATACTCTTAAGATTTGGATGTGATGTTGCAATATTGCATGTTGCTGGGGGCTTGGCAACATTGTCTACAAGTGGCCTACGTGACGTAGTGAGGGTGATAAAATTGGGTGGCCAAGGGGGTGGGGGTGGTATGGGAAATGCATGACCTAGGCACTGCAATGACTTTCTATTCTAGGTGTTTCGCGCTCTGCTGTTGCCGCTTGCCTTGATTTCGCTTTTACATTGTATTTGCCGATGGTCGAAGTTGGCGTTCTTAAGTAGTTATTACAAAAAAATATTATAGAATTCAAGTGGTGACACACACAATGACTATTTTCAAGGAAAAGATAAGCAAAGTTATTGAAAGTTGTGAAATTAAAAGGATTATAAGGATAATGTATACCTATCAACTTGTATGTTTCGATTACTCTTTAATCTTTACAATATTAAACCTATTTGAAGTCAACCTCTATCATTCACGGACCTTTTGGTTCTATCGTCTTGGAACAAATCGTAAAACATATATTTATTATAAAAATATCATGAAAAAAGAACACTTTAATAATAAGTAACTATTTAAAAAACTTACTTACGACTTTTGAATTCTCTATACTTGATGATTTTGATTAATTCTAGGAATGACAATTTATTTTTAAATAAAATTCTTGGAACAGTCTTTTCATTTTATAATTTAAAAAAGGGCTTTAAAAATTCTTTTAAATCTAATTAATGAAAATGTTAAGTGGCGCCTCTGTTAGCAGCTGTCAAAATAAATATGCGTTTACGTTTTGTCCGACAATTTGAAAAAACCATTCTCAGAAGGGGAAAAGTCTAATTGACGAATATTCACACGAGTTGAACATTTTGCGAATCGCACACCATATAGATGCTGTTTACACGTCTATATCGTTACATCTATATGCAGATCTAAAATATTGGCAGACGTAATTGCCTTGGCCAGATGCCGAAAAATTTCCATGCTGCCAAGTTTTGACATTTCATTTGAGTCAGTAGATGACATTCATTGAGGAATATACTTGATTTACGGCGGTAATTTGTATCAGTTAAAATTAACGAAAATGTCTACTTTTTCTTTCATCTTTTTCAGCGCCAGCAAACTTCAAGAGTCTCTGCCTGCGTGCTGAAGTCCTTCTAAAACTGAGCCATTATCAAAGTTCTCTAGCGGACATCGAGAATGCGTTGAGAACGCGCTGCACTTCGCCCAAAGTGAGTTTTATATTTAATCTCCTAAAAATGAATTTTCTTTAAAATTTATTTAATTATTTAGGCCCACTACTTGAGGGCTTTGGCTCTGAGCGGACTTGGCCGACTGGAGGAGGCTTTGTACAACGGCTTTTTGGCCATTTGCCTTGATAAGAAAACAAATCTCAGCAACTCGGAAATATTTCAACATGATCTCGCCAAGGTAGGCATAACGAATACATTATAGTGAAATGCATCTACAACATATGGTTGTAATTACAATTTTATGTTTACATTTTCACATGCCAAGGAATGTAATAATATGAGCCTAATCTGTGCAATGTTTTTGTAGAAGTCTAGACATACTTAAAATGCTTTCACTTTAAGAAAACAGGAAATCAAATTAACCATTTTGTGTACAAATTATTTTTAATGCAGTATGTTTATTAAATAATTTTATATCTCAGAATTCTTAATAGTTGTTTAGAAAACACTTAATTTTTAAAGGCAATATTAGATTGCTTTTAAAATACCTACAAAACTTGTATATTTAACGTCTCCTTGGCTATAAAATATTTTGAATTTGTTACTATAAATTTACTAAATGTAAACAATATTAACTCACATTTATCTCATTTTCCCCTCCCCAGATTCTCCAACGTCTCCTGGCCCAAATGCCGAACAATCGTTCCTCGATCAGCAGCGCAACGCCACCTGTTTTCCAGCAGCAACACCGCAGCTTCGCCACCTCCCGGGCACCGTATCCTCTGCTCTGGGAGCAGGTGCGCAGGCGCAGGAAACAGCCGCACCACCACCACCACCATCATCACCACCATCACCATGTCCATCTAGACGATGTGGAGGATGAGTTCGGTCATTACGACAACTATATAATGGCTGGCGACGACATGGAGGAGGAGGTTGAAGTGGAGGTGGACGGCGGTGAGCCGGGATCCCTGGATCTGGATGGAGACTTCCTCTTTCCGAGTGCCCTGGACTTTATGGATCACCATCGCCATCAGAGGCACGTCTTCGAGCAGAAGCAGTTCGATCTGCAGCCCCGTCGCCATGCCAACCGGAAACACTGCAAGCGGAAATGGTCGGCGGTCATGGAACCGCTGGGTGGCAAGCTCATCGAGGAGGAGGATGTGGATCCCGCGGAGGCAGCAGGCGAAAGTCAGCGGTGCAGTCGGCTGTTCGCCGGCGTTCTGGAGCGCACGCAGCAGGAGCTGCAGCGACTGAGAAGTGAGTAATCTGGAAAAGGATGCCTTAATTCCGAAAAAAAGAATATATAATTTTAAATATATAACATTTGTAACTCTGAAAACTGTTAATAACTAATTCTAACAATTTTTTTGATATTTTAAGTCCGTTTTAAATATTTACAAAAAGGTTTCTAATGCTAAAAGCTAAGTTGGGACCATAAAAATTTTTAAAAAATTATTCAATTGTATGACATCTAAAATATATAAAAATTGGAATTCTGAAAACTGTAAATAACCATTCCAATAATTATTATAAAATTTTTTGAATATTTAAAGTCCGTTTTAAATATTTACAACAAGGTTTCTAATGCTTCACTAAAATGCTAAGTTGGGACCAAAAATATTTTTAAAAAATTATTCAATTATATGACATCTAAAATCAAAATATAAATATTTTTGTCCTATAAATGCTAGGTAATTTTGATAATAATTATAAAATAATCCCTATCTAAAACCATTTGTAAAATATTTCAAACACAAATTAGATTTGTTTTTGGCCAATTATTTTACCGTTAAAAAATTCTTTTAAAATCTTATGCTTTACCAAACTTTTACTAACTGAAAAATTGTTCCTTTCAGAGCTGGACGGATCGGGTGCATCGACGGCGGTGAGTTCGGTGGCCGGTCAGCTGATCGACGCCAGCGACTTTGACTGCGTGGTCTGCAGCCGGACTCTTTGGAAGCCGGTGGTGACCCCCTGCGGACACACGTACTGCCTGGTATGCTTGGATCGTTGCATGGATTACAACTCCCCGTGTCCATTGTGCATGTCACCACTTGTGGAGTTCAATGTCAATGCCAGTGCCAGTCAGAATCCGAATCCGAATCAGAATCAGATCCACCTGCATCCGGGCTCATCCTCGCCAGTTCCTTTCGCGCTGGCCAAGCGGCCAGTGACGAAGTTCCTAGAAGCCGCAATGAAACGATTCATTCCAGACCACTACGAGGCGCGTTTCCGGCAGGAGATCGACCAGGAGCCCTCGGTGCCGGTGTTTATCTGCACGGCCGCCTTTCCGGCGGTTCCCTGTCCGCTCTTCGTCTGCGAGCCCCGCTACCGCCTGATGGTCCGTCGAGCCGTCGAGTCGGGGGACAAGACCTTCGGCATTGTGCAGCCGAATGGCGGCAAGTCGCGCTACTACGACGTGGGCACCATCCTGGACATCCGGGACTGCGTCCAGCTGGGCGACGGCTGCTCCATCCTCAGTACGATCGGCTGCAAGCGCTTCAAGATCCTGGCGCGCAACGAGAAGGATGGCTATGAAACGGCCAAGGTGGAGTACATATGCGACGAGCCAATTGCCGATGAGCAGGTGAAAATCCTGGCCGGGATGCAGGGAGTGGTGCTGGCCAAGGCCAGCGGATGGTTCGAGAGCCTGAGCACGGAGCAGAAGCACGAGATCCTGCAGAGCTACGGAAGGATGCCGCCGCTGGAGCCGAACTGGGAGCTGATCAGCGATGGACCGGCGTGGGCGTGGTGGGTCATAGCCCTGCTGCCCCTCTCCCAGCAGCTGAAGGTTAGTGAATTGCGTTAAATATTTTTTAGAATTTTTTAATAACTCTAATTAACCTTGTTAGGTGGACATTCTGGCCACAACCTCGTTGGAGAAGCGACTGCGTGCCATCGGCAAGACGCTCGACTGGCTGCACGACCTGAGCCACCCACAGCAGCCGCCGCACCACCCACTAAACCACCACCAGCAGGCGCCGCAATCGCCGCAGCAGGCCCATCATCTCGATCTCGACTGCGAGGAGCAGGAGGCCGCCTCGTCCGGCTCGGATGAGTGCTGCCTCTTTGCGGAAACCGGCAACGAGCCGCACACGGACGAGGAACTGCTCCTCTAAGGGCGATCCCCCAATAAGTAGTAGAAAAAAAGAGAGAAATTATAAGTCAGATATCTGCAGGAAAAAACACCTTTTTTGTAAATTCTGTGTCTAAGCCATTTCGTTTCGTAATCGAACGTTACTTGTTAATCCTAGGGGCCAAAACCGAAAGCGAAGCAACTTTAGCAGAACCAAAATTATCACTAGATCAGCAACATAATCTTTAGCTCTAACCTATAACTTTGTGTGTGTAATGTATAGTGTAAATGTGTGTAAAAAACAACTAGAGAGCAAACCAGAGATATTTGTTTAGCAGCAAAAAAAATAAGGAAAAAGTACCCGAAACACCAGTGAAACAATCAAACCCTGCTTTTGGCTCGAGCCCTCGCCCAAAATACCCATAAATGTTAACTTTATTTCCCTCGATCGATACAACCACATTCCACAAATCTTGAAAATACGTTTGCCATAGCAAGAGGAGCAAAGGAAAGGAAATAAGCCAGAAGATGAAATAAAATAAAATCTCTAACAAATAAAACTCATGGTTTCTACAAACAAAATACACAAATTTTTGAACATAAAACAATTTTAAAATTACTAATAAAATAAAATACCAAGTCAAAGGCCAACAAACATACACCTAGATAACAAAAACAAACCAATCGGATAGGAAAGAGCCAAGGAAACAAACTCTTAAAACAAAGTCTAACTTCTTTTCATTTACTTTGTATAAAGCGGCTGGAACTCTAAGACAATCTGCAATATTTTTTTGATATACCTAAACGAAACTAAAACTATATATACAAGAAGTAATTAAATGAAAACTGAACTAGCATCTAGTTATGAAGGAAGTGAGTGGGAGAACCAATGTGTAAAGAAATTTCAAATTAGCCCTTTGTTGATTACCACCCCTTCACTACGAACTCACTCTAAACTCCGCCCCCTCTCTATAACACCCCTACTCTCTCTTGATTATGCTTAGGCTAACTAAAGATATGCTCACCTATATATACCTAAATATACTATTCTATATGCCTAATGCTTATTTCTGTATTCGTATCTGTATCTTCAGCCCGCATTCCTATTGAAGAGATAACTTTGATATAACTTTGAGAACATTAGCTAGATCTACTTTGACGATGATTTCTTCTACTTCTAAGCCTCACGCTCATTTTGTTTAATCTTTTTCAACCTTTAAAGCTCTCCCTATAAAGCAAATCAATTTTAAAAACAACAATTTGCTTTATCAGTCGGCACATCTTTATCTTTGTAAATATCTTTTATCAGATAATCCTTAAATTATATGTATATCTTCTACGTTAGCTATAGAGAACGAATTTAATTTTCAGCTCAACACAAAATAATTAAATAAATCAACAATTTTTGTCAACTAAATATTTATGTAATTTTATACAAAATATACACATACGTCTAAATTAAATCATTTTGTATTAAGTTTAGAAACTAAACACAAACCAACCCAAAATTTGACATCATTTTTTTGTGTCTACTTTATATGGAGAAATAATAATGTAAATCTACATGAAAATATAATTCAAATTTGTAAAATTCTTAAGGTAAATTTCACCAAAATTTTTTCTCTGTGTTTTTGTGCTAAACTTTTTTTTACTCTTACTTCTTAATTTAATAATGATGTAAAATAAAGAGGAAAACAATTGAAATATAAAATAAATGTGAAACATAATTATTGTATTTTTTTAGGGGATGGTAAATATAAATTTATATGTTTTAGTTATCATCAATTTTAAGAACGGTCCGTCGGGTCGCAAAACTATATCTGGTCAAATTCAGTTTCAGG